CCCCAAAAAAAAAAAGTGGGCTTTTACTAGATCCATATCTATTACACGATTGTGACATTCGATCTGTAATCAGCGATGAAGCCGAAGTAAACAACTTCTTGTTCAAACACTGAACACTTCATAAAGTCTACTTAAACTAAGTAGTGACAATAGATCTGTAAGTGTAAAGATATGGGGGTTTTTTTAACTCTTCATATTCAAAACTAGAATCCGTGGGTTATTTTTAAGGCATAGTCGTAGCGTCTAATCTATATTATTCGTCGGCCATACAATAAGGAGGAGAAAAAAAGCTACATATTGAAATACTTGCCAGTAAAGATGTCAGCCTTTCAAATTCTTTAGAAACCTACTTATCCAAAACCGAAGAGTCTATCATTAGACACATAATTTGTGGTATTTTATCAATATTCATCCGCGATGAATCAAGAATAACCCCGTCACCCCCAAACACTGAAAACTATATTGAATCTTCTTAAACACAGTTGTCACAGTAGATATAAATTTGTGTGTCGTGAGAGCTGGTAGCTGAATAATAGAAATAAACTACACACTCAAACAGAAAACTCTGGGCTATCACTTTGACATAGGAGTGACGTCGGATTTCTATTGCTTACTGATAAGAGAATTAAGTCACAAAACTTTGGTCGATAAAGACTCCATAACAGAATGTTTATTCACATCCAGCAAACCGCATTCTATAAAAATAAGTAACAAAATGCTGACGACGAAGAATCCTGATTTAGTAACTAAAACTCCTCAATGGAAATTAATACGAATCCTGTTATAGTTACTAAAAATGACCCCCCTGATTTAGTTACTCTAAATACTTCTGTTTCAATTAACCAAAACACTCCCGATTAATTGAGTAACGCAAAATGCTCCTGATTTATTTACTCAAGATGCTTCTCTCTAAAGACCAATAAAATAATAAATCCTAAATGAGGAAGACACGACTGGTTCAAACAATGACATCTGCTTGATCCAGGAGAAGAACACATTGCCAAACAATGTCGACCACCACTCTTAAATCAGAGGAACACGAGATATTGTAGGGTTATCTTATCCCGTGTTAGGAAATCGTCGCTGTCTCCGAAACAATGCACAATACACAACACTGCTTCACGCACACCGGCAGAACAAACATCCATTGTCATAAAGGAGGAAGGAAGAACAATAATATCCTTATAAGCTCACGCCGAAGTCCATATTAAAACGCACGCGCGCAAACACTGTAACGAGCGCGCAAGCTGTATTAAGTGCAAAATAAAGTGAGCGCTGACAAATTCGAGCATACGCGCGCACCAGCACCCTGTGTTTGAGTGAAATACAAAGCGAGTACTCAGAGTCACAAATGCACACACACACATGTGCACACACACACACACACACACACATACACACTCACACACAGACACACACACACACACACACACACACACACAAACACACGCATAC